TGAAAAAAATTCTGACATCAGCTGAATAGATAAAACATTGTGTAAACTCAAACCAGGTTCCTGTTCACAGCCAAATATAATAATAGCTGAAGCAAAAGAAGAACGTCCGGTTAAAATATGCACTAAAACTCCTCACGAGAGTTGACATTAACAGAATTTGTACATTTATAAATATTGATTCGTACACATATAAATTAGCAAGGTAACGTTCAGAAAAACTGCAGTTATTAGAAAAAAATAAAACTTTTGTTCAATTTTTTCTGAACAAACACAAAAACGATAGTCTCTTTCCAAAAATCTCTTTAGTATTCAAAACCTAGATAACCAATATAAGTTATGAAGATTTTATTTTTTTTTTCTTTGATTTTGCCATTTTTTAAAGCCCGACCAGAAATTAAAAAAAATCAAAAAATGCCTAAATTACTTTGTCTTTAAAGGCCAAACATTACAAGTGCAAGCAGGTCTTGCAGTGAATCTTGATGCTTACAAGAAAAACGTTCCTAGGAGAGGTCTTTCTGAGTCATATCCATTACGCTAAAATATTTTAGACAGGTCATTGAAAGGATTAAATTTCTAACAATAAATAAAGTAAAGTCAAAAAAAGTACTAGAAAGCCAGCGTAAGAGCAGAATTCTCTTGAAACACATTATAACTCTCCACCTTGAAATTACTCCAGTAAGTATAACTTTCTGCCTTATTATAATTCCACTTTCAAGCCTCTCTTCCGTAAGTGAAAAAATCTGTTATAATAAAATTTCTTAGATATTCAATATATGTTTTTTCTTATAACATTATAAAATTTCTATGCTTCCTTATTTTAAGACTCTTCACTGAAACTTGTGTTAAACAGCTGTCATTCAGCACCTGGAAGACACAAACTTCCGTCTAAATTTGAAACTTCAGTTTCATGTACAGTGAAGAAAATTATTAAGCCCGAAAAAAACCAGAATGAGCAAAACATAAAAAAATCTTTAGATTTTGGCCGGAAATAGATGATTTGGCTACGCACTACACCTTCTAGAAATTGAAATAAAAAGAATTTAAATCAGCAAAATTTCAAAGCGCTCGTAAATATCACTTGCAAAGCGTAAGACTCAGTGTGCATTGACTCATTATTATTTTAAAAGATCTAACTGATACAATAAGCAGCATTATCCAAGCTCCATTTCCTAACACGGTCCTAGCAATAATAAAATAAAGGAGCTGTTACAAATAAAACTTAATTTTGAAAGATAAATCTCAACTCAAATTCAACTCGTTTAATTCAAAAAACTATAGAAACCAAAACTTAACTTTGTTAATGAAAATACTGACATACTTTACCGCCCCAAAAAGAGCCTTCAAAATCATGAAGTACAACTTCACCTAATCCTCACTTTTAAATCGTTTCCTTCAAGACCATCATCCCACTGACCTCCTAGTGAACACCAGTGACTTAAAACCAGAAAACTATCGTCCTGCGAGGAAGTTCCGTACGTGAAACACGTAAATGAAAAATTTAAACTTTAACTGATGAACTTCACTCATGACAACCAGACCAATAGCACATCGTTCGTCTTTCAAATTACAAGTACACAACTCTCAACATAAAGATAAACTAACGCTATTATCTCTCGTTCACTTGACAGATCTGTTTACCTTCAAACAGCAATATGTTCTAGATATCACCGATTCGCTAATATGCCAAGCAGTACAGGCCCACACCGGCTTAAAATAATCTGCCCAAAAATTCAAAAAAGCGCGTTATTTTCAAGCCAGCAGATTCCTAAATCTTTTTTAAGCCGAGTAACTTTCTGTTCCCGGTGGACCACAAAAAGTAAACTATAAAAACGCTTTCTCCTTCTAAACCTAACTTTTTTTTCATAGCCATTTTCAAAGAAAGACTTCTTCACTGCTTTTCTCAAAATTCTACCATCCAACACGCAAATTTCCCCTTAATATAAACTGGAAACGTCCTTCAGTTCGCTTCCAATCGCATGCGGTTTTCAATAAACAAACCATCTACGAAATCATCAAAATAATAACTTCATCAATAATAAAATACATTTCCAGAACAAAAGAGAAATAGAAAACCACTGTATCACTCCCCTCCATTTCGTTTCAGATAGCTTCTACAGTCCTTAACTTTCAATCTCAAATTAACTGTTAGTCATTTTGAAACAAAGAACAGTTTCAAATCTGCATCAGTCTTCAGTGTTCATTGTGTAACTTTTTATCAGATGTAATCCTAACCAGAAGTTTCAAAACGCAGCAAAAAAATAATTTTTTAAGGAATGCGTAAGAAATTTTGGATGAATTGACGCTAAAAATATCATTAAAACTGTAATTTTACAAGAAAAAAATTTTTATTAAATCAAACTGCAAAAACACCAAACACTTTAAATTTAATTTGAAGTGTCTCTTGAAAAAAACGGCAAAGTTGCCACCAATCCTTGAAAATATAAGACCGCTAAAGTGTGAAAATAATAACTACAAAGTAAATCACTTCATGTCCTTCTCATTAATTAAAAAAAAAAAAGATTGGAAGATTGCTCACCTCAGAATAAACAACTTTTTTTCTTCAAAAGAATTATTTTTTCTTGAAACAAACGGCGAAATATATTCATCAGCACAAGGTGTGACATTACCAAGATCGACTGCTTTTGTACTAAGTCCCCTAAATATATATACTCCAGTAACTCACAAACTGATTAGAAACATTTAAACACATCAGCCATTGGTCCGAGAGCTGTAAAGTACTGTCTTATAAAAAAAATAACTATTCTGCTTTGAAGAAAACAAAGCTTCTCAAATCTATATCTCAAATTTACCCTTCAAGTGCGACAAAGAACCGTGAGAAAGCACTCTATAATTATTAACTGAAATTCTTACAAAGCTGCATTAGGCTCATTCAGAAAAGCACTGCTCCACCTTTCATCACCAGTTGATGCAGATCCTCTACTGATGGCACTGTCAGTCATAGAGTTTGAAAGTGCGTCAACACCAGAAACACAAGACGATGGAGAAGTGGTGAGGTCGAGTAGTCTAAAACAAACTTGTTTGCTACAACAGCGAAAAAAACAGTAGAAAAATATAAATTTTTGTTATTTCCTTTCAGCAAATTCAGATTTACCCATTTGAAAAACTAGTAGACGCGGCACAATGACGCAATGACTGGAATGAACGAGAGGTTAAACTGCTACGAACTGAAAAGGTATCCGAACCGGGACTACATCTAAACTGACAACATTTAAAGGAAGAAATATACTAAATGAAACAGCTCAGAGCACCTTTAAAAACACCAGACACTTGTTGAATGACAATATTACGCTCTATGAAAATCTAGACAAATTATCTGTCTGGTTTCAAACTCGTTTCAGCAAAATTTTGCAACTATTTCTCTAGTTCTAAGTTGATCGTACCCAGAAACAATGCGATAAAGATGTTTCGAGTCTGTCATGCAGTTCCTCTCTATGAACTCATGAGTTTCCGAAATCGAACCAGATGATTCTTCTGCGGTAGGCTAAAAATAAATTATCGTAAGTTCAAGCAAAATATAACTTCAAATGCAGAAATAAAAAGTTAACACTAACTGCATTTATCACGTTTTTTAACAGAGCCGCAAAGATTAGAATCAATGCGTTAAAACAAGAACAAATATTAAAGGCCCGTAGTGATTATGCCATGACCAATCTGCTAGTAAATTCTTTGTAAAGCTACCTCCGACGTAAATGATGTTGTCTCTTAGCTTGTTATCATCACAAAAGATAGTAAACTAGAAAAAGCAATAAAAACGAACAGTTGCATCCATATATCCCTCATCGATACCGCCATGGTCCTCAAAACTTAGAGTCGTGAGGTCATCAAATACTTTTTTTGCAGAGCGAAATTCCGAGAAATCTGACACATTTGAAGGAGAAAGGCTTTGACGTCGGCGCCCGAATCCTGAGTTTTAAACTGTTTTCGTAATAACATTACAGAAGAAGTAAAATATAGAACAACTGTTAAAACAATAATTTCTACTTCAGTGACAAATTACCTTGGGTTAAAGAGTCTGAATGCGCTTCCCAGGAAGGGTCATCCCACTGCAAACGAATTGAAGATGACTGTTCACTAAAACTTGCACTGCCTTCAGATACCCGACGTAATGACGAGTTCCCAAAGCAGAGTACCTGACCGGGACCTGTCTTATCCTCTTCGACAATCCGCGAACTGCAATGAATTTTTCAATCGAATTAGTTAAATTACAATAAAGTTTGCACAAAATTTAAAGTTCTTTGATCCCCAGTCTCATGCCACATTATCAAAATGCAAAAATTAGTTTATTGAATTCAGTAATATATTTAACGTGATACTTTCTTAAAATAAACATAAGAGCGCAAGAGAAGAGAAGAATTCAAAATGTAACAACAGCTTCAAACCTTCGAAAAACAGAACATGGAGACGACGATTCTCCGCTGAAAGGAGAATATCCGTCATTGCACGGAGACTGTGCAACAACCCAACGACAACAACGTATTGGAGATGAATCCTAAAAACGAAAGGTGATTATAGACAAAAAACGAGGTAAGTTCAAATCCGTTTTTTTCTTTCGCATTCCTAAAATATTAGAAGCTTCCTAAAATTATTTTTAAAATTAATTTCCTCTTTATCACAGTCCCCATTTGGTTACTAATTTAATTCAACTAGAATACCCAGAACCGACTTTCACAAAAAACAAATAATAATAATAATAATAATAATAATAATAATAATAATATAATAATAATAATAATAATAATAATAATAATAATAATAAGACAATAATAATAAATTAATTTTGAGATTTTTCGGAATCAGTAATAATAATAATAATAATAATAATAATAATAATAATAAGAAGAAACAATAAGAGCATTATCATAATAATAAAAACAAATAAACGAATAAGCAATTTACGGGAGAAAGAAAAGTAATTTCCGTAGAATCACTGAAAGGACCATCATAACAAGAATCCCAGTCGCTGTAACCATCTGCTCCGCAAAGAGAATTACATCTGTGCTTACGAAAATACCCCCTTCCAGCGTACTGCAATTTAAAATATAAACATAACGTGAATATTGAACGGAAAAGAAACAACCTACTTTTAAAAACCTTCCAACAGCATCTCATAACAAATATATACTTATCGTACCTGACAGAGAAAGCGAAGGTCTGCTTGGTTTAAAAAATCAATGCGTGCGAAGTCAACAATAGTCCAAAAAAGCCTATTCCCACGAATTCGTGTGAAGATTCTGTAAGCTAAATATGAGCTTACACCAGCAATCAGCACAATACCACTTGTACGTGCTGAAAAAAAAATTTTGTAATTTTTACAAAAATTACTACAACTGTTACGTAACATTGCCGTAACTTAAAAAATGCAAGGTACTTCTTTTAACACCCATAAAATTTATTACATTACTAACAAGTCTTAATAAAAAAGCATCATTTTCTCTGCTCAAAAGCGAGTGTAAAATGCAGATACCTTTCGAAAATAAATCAAAAACCCCTTAGAGAAAAGCAAAAGCTATTCCAGTGTTCCACTAAATTTTATTTGACCTATCATATTTGATACTCAGAAGTCTTACTGTAGTTAGTGAAAATTTTATCACAGTGCAAATTATCCAACATTTCTAAATTTACCAACATAAATTGATAAAACTAACAACAACGCAGTCCCGCTAAAAAGGCAATAAAGCTCATAGAACGTGCACTACTTAGACAACAGTTTTATGAATCCATAACTATGAATTTTGTGCACCTTCAAAATGTTTTAAATCAATATCTTTATAGACAAACAAAAAATCGCCTCTTTTAGTAATGAAAAATTTTGAAAATTTTCCATCCTAAAAACGTAAAGCTGAATGCTGTCAAAACAACTAAAAAAACTTTTTAATCAAATTTTTTATCACATTCTTGATTAATTGACAAATCACGAA